TAGGTTCGCCAGTTGTCATCATAGGTCAACAGAATAGTGTAACGACCAACAAGAATTACTCAGAGACCCCCACCCGTTTCAGCGTTGGCTAGAGCAAAGCGCAGTCCGCAGGGATGAAAATACCTCAACAAGAGCAAATAGTAGTTCGGAGATAAGCCGGCCGTGTTGGAATTGTTTAATTGGAATGACCTTTTACGAAACAGAACGTCACAGTCCGCTGCTATCACTGGATAGCATCTACGAATACCTTATAACAAAATAACGATCATCGCGAACTGGCCATGGTCAGCTGGCTAAAATCCCGGTACACACATCATTAACGAATTCGGTTCCCGATATTGCGTCACAAGAGGGCCAATCGATATAATTCCCAAACGTTTCAATGGCGCCGAACGCTCACCTTCGAACTGAATAACATCTGTGCGGGATTGTATGAGCTACATAAACGTAACCAAGTTGAATGTTTGCAACAAGGCTAGAGGACACCAGAACAAAAATCCGAGAAAGCGTGTTATATTATAGAAAAAATAATAGAGAAACGGGCGCAACAGTATTAGCAATCAGTACGGCAACGCATCGTGTGGTTTCCCTAGGAGCTTACGCGTGAAATACTTTCGTGTTCGTATTGTTCGAATACCGTGAGCTGGATAAGCTAAAAAGGTTCCATCGTCTCCCGGTTCGTCATGTTCCTCAGGAGATATGGTCAAAATCGTACGAGGTAACATCGAGATTACCGTTTTTATATCAGTCTGTGCAGGTTGTGAAGGCTGTAACAGTTGACCGTTATTACTGCCGGTAGTACCGGTGCCAGCAGTACTTCCATCTCCGGTGGGAAAGACAGACCGTCCCTGTTGATCAATTGGCTGAATGGGTTGAATGACCGGTTGAGTGACTGAGGCTTGGGGAACCTGTTGCAGCTGCTGGGCTAGCTGGCTTCGCTGCTGCTGGAGAAGGTTTTGCTGTTCTTGTTGTAGCTGTTGTTGTTGTTGTAGTTGTTGCTTTTGTAACTCATTCTGCTGCTGTAAAGTGGAGAGCAAGTTCAGTAACTCCGACGTAATGGATGAATGGGTGTCCGCTGTGCTAGTTTGCGCACTCATATGGGCAATCGAGGGCAAAATCGCTGCATAGTTTGTGGATACCGGTATTCCGAGCATTTTTGGTGCAGCTGTCGCAAGAGTCACTTGGGGTTGTGCCAAGGTAGCCGATGCAAGAGGCTGAGAACTGAGGAGGGCACCATGACCATGGTCAAAGGTAGCATATCCCTTTGCAGAAGCTAAGGTAGGTTGGGCAGCTAACAACAGTGCATTTAGTTCCGCCAGGAGAGGAGCCAGTGTGACCGGCTGCTGTACCGCCATTAGTGGTTGTTCATAGTTCATCAGACCAGTAGCAAGACTCATCGTACTTTGTGATGTTGTAGCGGATGGTGCATTTGCAACAAATGAAGTGGAAACACCGCCAGGAATTGTCGAACGAGGAGTACTTGTAACGGGTGTTGAGGGTTGGATAACGGGAGAACTCACCGGCTGTTGTGTTTCGGGTAGAGCTGGCTGTTGGGTTTGCACCGAAGTAGCTGGGACTGAGGGCAAGGAGGGTAACACCGATTGAGGTGTTTCCGACCGTGGAGAACCACTAGTACCTGCATTCGGTGGGACGCATGCGTTACCAGTGGTCTGGACGGATGCCGTTGTTTCAGCCGGGGATTGCGCAATAATTATATGGTGAGCTCCGTCTATTCCTGATTCTCTTCCTTTTTTCGGATGTCCCGAAGACCTATACAAACGACTGAGAAGATGCACAAGCTCAACATCGATCGGAGTTTTGTCCAAATCCTTCAAACTGATTGCCTTCGTCAACTCCGTTGTAGCAGCAGTTTTTTTAATCACAATCGGCACAGATTCCAGCATGTCATCAATGAGTTCATATTCATTCCCTTTTGGGGAGAAACGAAAAAGCGGCCGACGTCGGTGAGGCAAACGGAGCCTCTTGTTCCAATCGCCTGTCTCGTAAGACGAAAAACCGCCATGAAAACGGATACGTCCTTTTGGGAGTGGGTACGGCGACATACCGTGTGAAGTGATATCTGGTGGTGGTGGATGACGATGAGGAGGTTGGCTGGGGCGTGGAGGAAACCATCTCGCGGAGTCAGCTCGGAAACAAATGCTCAACAAAAAAATCAAGAACGTCAAAGAGTACCACATCAGAATCGAGCTGTTCTTGTCCCAACTTGGCAATGTTGTAGCACCAGACTACGCTGTCAGCTGAGCGAAATTCATGCTTGTAAGGGCCGAAAATCAATTGCACCAGTGAGTGATGCTCCGCTTTAACATTGATGAGGCAGCCAGACAATAAGTTATCAGTCTCAAAGCTCCAGAATAATCAATATTAATTCGGCATCAAATATGGATCGATCAAAATAGTCATGTACCCAACGCCTATTGAGTTTGCAACGAAGCTGTTCAGTCCGACGCAATATATCACACGCGATCAACAACCTTCCACTAGAGGTACTTAACAGGTTTATGGTACTTCAAAATACAGAAATCGTCCGAAAATAGGAACTACCTCAAGATGTGACCCGTACATNTCAGTCCGACGCAATATATCAACAACCTTCCACTAGAGGTACTTAACAGGTTTATGGTACTTCAAAATACAGAAATCGTCCGAAAATCGGAACTACCTCAAGATGTGACCCGTACATTCAGTCACCTATTCAGCTTCTATTTACATGGTTATTTACTAGACACAAAGCTTCGCTCAAACTGAGAGGTTGAACATAACCCTCTGAACTGAGAATAACAAAGATTTTAGATTGATTTAGTTTGTGTGGGCCACATTTGATCATTCAAAAAGATCCTAAAACAGCGGGGGACGCACGACCCGTTTGTAGGGGTGAAATTACCTATTCTTAATAGGAAAATCGGCTTTGTTGACTGGTTTATTTATCTGAAGTCATTGAACTAGGATGCACTGGATGTAATGAGCTGTTCTGATGAGAACGCTCATTCCCACCTAAGCATGTGATATTGCATGCGAGACGCTATTAAGGTAACCGGTTCTACTGTTCACCTTAGCGGTTATTCCACTTCGAACATTTGACCTCTCAACACATTTCGTGCAACGCATTTTTCGCTGGATCTAGAAACGATTTTGACTGGATGTGCGAAAAATTCCGAATGGATTGTTCCGTACCTAGATGGTATTCAACCCTTGGTTGCTCCAACCAAAAACTTCCCAACATTAACCCGATGTGTGAAGGTCACTGATTCAGCGGAGGTCACATCTTTAGTCGCGGCGATCCTAAAATGTACTAATTGATGAACAATGATTAATGGGCAACAGAGAACACGTGAACTCTTCTTGTCAGCGCTGAAGAACCGAGCTACACGGGTTTACAATGATGCTTGATAAACAACATGCAATGCAGCTTGTCTAACTGAAACTTTGTGAGCAATTTCCTGGCCAACCTCTCCAAGCAGGGTACCAAAAAAACGAAAGGGTCACCATCGACTTCGTACAGGGATGCGAAGAGGAACTTCCGAGGGACGCAAACAGCTAGATGACAAGTACATCTGATATAAAACATTCCAATGAGTCCACACGCGGTGATTAGCCATGCCAAAGCATTGCCCCAAGATTCGCCGCGTCCCAAACACGCGTTTGTGAAAAACCGCCTTGACTGACGAGGTTGTCTAGAGTCAATCTTACAGATGGTTACACATCTCATGGAATCTCATCTCAGGGCTGGAATGAAGTGATGTCTACTAATAGTAGATAGTACAAATGGGACGGTCTAGATTATCTGGTTTGCCACCGGAATAGTATGAAAGAAGAGGACAGAATTCACGGTCAGCGAGTTCGTAATGGAGAGGGCCTGTTACTGTTTGGGACTAAATTTTACCAGCATTCAAACACAATGTACTAAAACAAACGGAAAAATCACGGCTGATAACGGCTTCGTGAAGATCAAAGAGGAAAAGAAACGAAAGGTTACAATCCATGAAACCATTTTCTCTCGAATAACCACAGAGTCGGGACATGAATCAATTGGGGATCATGTTGTGTTCGATGAAAAAGTTCGTTATGCAGACGAAAAAATCCCCTTGATGCAGTGAATGGAGTGAAGATAGAACGTGTGAATGTATAGCAAAGTTGAGGATGAAATTTCTGTATAAATGACAGATCTACTGCATTTTCGCATTTGTCTCAGATTAGCGGTAATAGCTTCGGGGCTTTTGAACACGTAATATTTTGTGTGCATGACAAACAGAAATGGACGGAAAATCTAGTGAATATCTGGACTGGGTGATACATGGTGCACTCGAAAAGTTCCTAGTTGAACTGTCGTAAAGTAAGTCAGGGGAAACGAGGGGCCTAATAATGTCTTCCACACCATACATATGGCTACTAATTAGAAACCACAGAGTAAACGCTCAGAGTAGGTTCGTGTGCCTGAAGGCCAAATCGGAATGCTCAGAGAATGCCTGTGTGGACGAAGATTAAAATATTCGGATGAAAGAGATCTTTTAAAGACTGTCAGCCTGGAATGTTCCCTTTTTAAAGGGGAATCCGTCAATCGTCGGCATAACTTCTCTGCTATGTTCTCTGCATCCACCAAGTATGCAACAGTTCCTGCATATTCAAAGGAAGTATAGTGAAAGAAATGGCCCGTTTTTCAAAACATGGAAGCTGCAGGTAGCCGAGGAAATGGAAGCACTGACCCTAAAGGCTCAAATCGCAGGCTCTACCAAGGGTCTTTCTTCGTGTGATTTCGAGAAGGCCTTTATGAACGCAAGAACAGAGGCACGGTAAAGCCATAATCAATGCATATTGGCATAAATAAAAGCACAACCAACGAATTCAAAAAAAGGATGTTGGTTGTTCGCCTGTTCGACAAGCTTAGACAATGATTTCTATTTGACTGAGAGCGTTTTTACCTTTTTTGAATTCAGTCAGTAACTTTCTTCGTTGCTGGAACAAATCGTATTTTAGTCACACTGCTAGAATGGGCGGACTCGATGCTCCAATCTTCGAAAGAAAGTCAAAATCAATGTATCGACGGGAAGCGCAGTGGATATCGAACGACGTTTGAACCGATCCACACAAAAAGCTCCCGGTGGATAGGAAACCTGGAGCCAGGTATTTGATCGATTTATGTGAATAGTCTGCTCCGTAGAAAGCCTTCAAAAAAGATGAATGTTGCCAAAAAGAAAAAAGAACAGTCCTATCGAAAAGCGCACCCAACGTACTTGAAACTCTGTAGCTCTGTATCACACATTGCGGCCTTGTAAAAAGCCAGTAGAGTAGTTGTCGATTCAAGCCACTCCACCAGGCCAATATGGCTGGAGATCGGTACGATGGAATAGGTTCTTACAAGTACCGGAACGTTTTCCGATTGCGGATGGAAAAACGAGGCCGCGCCACACCGATTGCTTCCAAGCAACTGATTTGTGATTGCGAACATATGCTGAATACGTGTATCCTGTCGTAAATCTTCACCTCCCTTTACCAACCACGAATAATGCTTTGCATTGGATCCAACGAGACTGATGAGTTTTGGTTGCCTTAGTGAAACAAGTGTCTGATGTGCAGAGGGGAAAACAAGAGAAATGTAACTTTTAGCAATGTATCTATACGTTGTGGTATTAAATAGCTGTGCGCAAAACAGTAGCAAACTAGTTATGGTAATTAATTTCATCCAGTCTTACTATTTGCAGAAAACAAACACCCTTTGAACAAGTTCCTTACATACTAACACGATGTACATAAACCCGCGTTGTGGATGCTAGTGGGGGAAACTGCGAGCTGAACGGGGAGGTGTGTACAAAAAAGCCGCCATTCGGCGGCAGTTGGGAGACAGGTGCCGCTCGGTGTACAAGTTGTTTGATATTCTCCCTGTAAGTGGGAGTGGTGCTGCTTGTCTAGAATGGGGAGCTAATTTAGCGGCCATATGTAAATGTATCTGCGAATCGTTTAACTCGAACCCAATGCGCGACAAAACATTGGTTTCGGAACAGCGCACAAATACTTTGGTTCCTGGTGGTTTCGCAAGCTAATGCTTAGTTTAGTGCAGTGCAGATGGGATACGTACTTTCTAAATGATCTACAAGAATCTACGGTGTCTACAGGATGCTTTTTGGCTGGGTATGCTTGATAATACATGACGGCCAAGTGACAAGGACAAACAATGCTCTTCGTAACTTCAGCGTGCGCCGTTACCGCCGCGCTGCGTTCTGGCAATTACTTACTCTGCATCATTTCACTCTAGGTTCGTCATGTCCTTTCACCTAGTGTATCCGCATTGCGCTACAGACATTCCTACTTTATAACAGTGTTTGCGGCGATCGCCATGCATGTGAAAAAGCATTCAGGGTGGCTATGCGACCATACATCTTTGAGCAGTGTATCTTAATGTATCTGAGGTGCAAATCGGTCTGCCTGTATGGAACAGATTAACGAACGTAGTACTATAGCGGAAGAGAACACGTAAAGCCTAGTTCTTGTATAACTCCAGTATAGGGAGCAAGATATAGTGCTTCGGGATTCTGGCGACCAATACGTTCAAAGTTTGGGGTCTTCTTCAGACAGCAGGTGTTCAGCCCATCTGTCACAGTTCATTATGAACAAAATATCATCTAACTATATATATATATATATATATATATATATATATATATATATATATGTGGCGATATTTGAAATCTGCTGGCGACTGAAACATGAGGCGGCCT